GGGGGAGGCGCGCGCCGGGTCCCCGCCCTAACGGTCGCGGGGGCCTCAGGGCGCGAGGCGGCGCCTCGGGCCTCCCGTCCCTCCCTCCTCAGCCGACGGGCCCTTGGCGGCCGCACGGGGGGTCCCGGCGTCCGGCTTCGGTCCGCGCTGTACAGAAAGGATGCGGACAGGCTGGAGGGGGTCCAGGGAAGGGCTGGTCAGAGGGCTGGAGCACCTGGCAATAGAAGGAAAGGCTCAGAAAACTTGAGTTTGCTCAGCTTTGAGATGAGAAGGCTCAGGGGAGGCCTTATTACAGTGTTCTAGTGCTTAAAGGGTGGCTGCCAAGAAGACTCCCTGTTGACAGGGAGTCACATGGAAAAGACAAGGGGTCATGGGCAGAAGTTGCTTCTGGGGAGATTCCAGTTGGACACGAGGTAAATTTTTCACCATGAGGACAGTCAAACATTGGAATAGTCTCAAGGGAAGCAGTAGATGCCCCCACATTGGACAGTTTTAAGTCTCAGGTCGTCAGGGTGCTGAGCCATCTCATATAAACTATAGTAGTATCTAGAAAGGTTGGGTCAGCTGACCCTTGAGGCCCCTTCCAGCCTGGCATTCTGTGATGCTGTGATGCTATGCTAGTACGGATTGGGGTGGGTTTGGCTTTTTTGTCCTGCTGTAGCTGAAGCCTGAGGTTTTCCACAGTGGATGTACGGGTACTGCACACAGATTGTTTCATTCAGGCTCATACTTAAAGGAGTGTAAGCTTCTGGACACCTGTTAGTTCAGCCCGTGGGCCCATGACAGACTGCCTGTTTTCCAATCCTGCTCTCCAATTGTTGAGGTGCTAGGAGAAAAGAGATAGTATGGGCATAATTACCACCTGTTTTGTATTCTGCCTGATTGAACAAAAGCCATTTTGTTTTGTTTCATCATTCTCACAGATTCATTCTAGCCTTTCTGAGATTTGAGCTTATGGAATCAATTTGTATTTTTACCTCTTTGGTGTGTGATAGGAAGGTGGTGGTAGGGAAATGGATTATGGCATTTTGGAGGAAACATTAAATGAGGGATTATTAGTATGAGGGCTGCTGGCTACAAAGGATTCAGGGAATTGTTTGCCCAGTTCTGTAGGCTGTCTTCTATGTTGCAAAAGCTCACCACAGAATTTGATTCAAAACCAGTTGGAGAATTCTGTGTGAAAAAGTAATAAGCATGCTGTGAAAATACCACAAGCTTTAGTCTGCTGAGATGGTGCTTGCTGAATTAGTGCACCAGAGGATAGAGGTTTGAATTACAAAGGGCTGTCTGGGGACAGATGTATTGATTCCTTCCCCCCCATCCCCAGTGAGAAGTCTGTGTTTGCTTAAGTTTTCAATTTTTAACACCTACATGTTATAATGAAGCAAACAACAAGATAGATTGCATTTAAAGAAAGAGTATTTCTCCTTAAGTGATTTAATGTCTTATTTCATGGAAATCAGTATGTAGTGGTTTATCTTGTAGTGCCTCTATGATGCAAAACTAAGTGATTAAGGAAACTTAGCAAAAAAAAAATAATAGTTGAATTCACTTGGCTCTGTACTCATTGTTAGAATGGAAGTGCTTTTCCTTAGCTTTCTTATTTAGCCCACACAATGTTATCTTGTGCATCACCAAGAATAATTCAATGACAGAGAGCTGAGAGAACGGTACTGAGTGGGATGAGACCTGACAAACACTCTACAGTTCTGCAGAGGATGAAAAGGGCAGAAAGTTTGTATACTCTTTGGTGTGGGTATCTTGGTGCAATGGGCTAGTTCAGAAACAGTGTCGGAAGGTTTAGAAACGGCACTGTGGCCACCACTGGTGTAGGGTTACCCCTCTGGTCCCAGGTGTTCATTTTATCAGTCCTGCTTGTGATTATCTGGTCATGCAGCTTGAAATACATGAAGGGCATGATCCGTCACTCTAGGGTGGTTTCCACCTAGAAACGGGATGGGCCTGTGTTCGAAACCTCTGAGTCTGTGATACCGTGATTCATGACTACATGGTCACTACAGGCTCTAGAAGGGAACAGTGAATAGTCTTTGGCAAACACAGGTCTGAATTTGCACTCAAGCTGAAATAATCCATACCTCCGGCCTGTTGTTCACACAGCAGTTTGCTTTCTAACAGAGCTAGTGGGAACTTGGCCTGGGTTTGCGATCTGCCCCTCAGGAATTCAGCCAGGCCTGGGTGGCTGGAGCAAGACTGCCTGTGGTCTTGCAAACATAGCACAGCAAATAGCATAGTCTTGAATGCCCTGTTCTCCTCCACAGCCATTTGAACTGCTGAGATTAAGGACTAGTCTGTGTTGAGCAGGTCATATACCACTTAAGAGGAGCTGTGGAGGGTTAGACTCCAAGGGCAATGGGGCAATCCCTTACACTCAGAGGGATTTCCAGAAGTTAAACTGATGTTGCTGGGTGAATGACAGCCTCATGCTAAACATCAGAGATGGCCCTCCACATCTCAGAGTTTTGTGTGTTCTTGCTCACCCTGTGTGTATATGATTATATGGACTCAATTGTGAGTCCCACACTTCTCCAAAAGTGTCATTCTAGGGAGTGTTAGAGACTTGGCACAGCTGCAAGGTCTAATACATTATCTGGTGGCTCAATGACTGCTCAGATGAAATTGTCCAATTTTGGACAGCAAATGGACTGAGAGCCATATCATCTACTTGCCCACTGACCACACGTGAATACAGAGATGACAGCTGGAGAAAAGTAAAGAGGACAATCCTGCACACTTGAGAGTGGCTCACAACAGTTTTTGGCTGTAGTGAGTAACTTCTATGGTCTGGTACTTTTTTGGCACCTTATGCTGTTAATTTTGGGTTGATTTTCTCTAGTGTTCCTTCTACATCAGTAGCCTTGTTGTTTGAACAACGGTGACTTAAACTGAAATCGAGTCTTTTGTCTTCCCTACCTGTTTGGTTTTTTTTCCCCAGACATATTATTTCTAATTTATTATTGTGCACTTCTATCATACTGCAATCAGACTAGATCCCATCCCAAGAGCATGGGACGCCATGGGTGTGCACACACAGACAAACATAGGTGTATGCCCCCAGTGCTGTCTGAGCACTGGAGACATACTGTGTCTCTGGTTGATTAAACAAGTGCATGTAGTAGGAAAAAGAGACAAACACTGCTGTTAAAAAAGTAGTAAGTAGCAAGTAGTATTTTCGTTCTCACCAGGAAAGCCAATTTTGAAGTTAAGCACCTCATTGATGGTGCTAATACTGTATATTTAATTTTCAACGTTGGAAGAAAAGAGATGTTTTTGTTCCCACTAGGGAAGGAACTTCTAAATGCCACATTGATGGTAGTGTTGTTAGAGTAATTTGGGGCTTGATAATAGCTTCTTTGGCAAGATATAACTATAATCTCAAGGTGAATCATACCAGGGTCTATACTCACAGTATCGCACCTGCACTTCCTCTCTAATAAAGAAAGTTTATTTCTGCCTTTGTAAACCAGTGAATTATTTTTTCAAAGTCAAGTCCCGCTGAAACAGAGAGGGCAGTAGTCCCATTGAGTTCAATTATGTTCTGTGCAGTTAAGGTTAATATATAGTGACACTCTTGATCCAGCTTAATATGAGAAGTGTGCCCTTAACATCACAGCATTGCAAAGATAAAGCTCAGAGTTATTGCCACAGAAAGGCAATAACTGGGATCTTACTGGCCTGGCACAATAAATCCTCAGAGTAGCATCTGTAGGTTGGTCCCTGCTTTAAGTAACAAGTAAACACTGAGCAGCCCTGGCTTAAGTTAATTAAAAATGCAGCTTGAAGGAGGGTGGGGAAGAGACATTTTGCTGTTTCCTAAGATAATGTATGTGTTCTGCTGGAGCAGGTCATAGAAGGTCTCCAAGCCAGGCAAGGGACAGCGCTTCCAGGAAGTCATGTATGCATGTGCTAATGTCATTACTGTTCAAAAAACTAATCCTTGGAATAAAAGAAAATACTGGCTAAAAGACCATTAATGACAATTAATGACTATGTAGGCTTGTCAATGGAAGGGAAGTTAAGAGTAGTAAATCTGTGTTTTTATTTCACCACAGTTACATGACTTGTTATACTACTGTAAGCTGCTCTGGATTACAAAATCATCTACTCTTCTGAGAATTCTCAACTAAAGGTAAAAAATAAGAGTTTAATTTCTAATAATTTTCCTTAATACATATGTGTTCTTATTACTAGCTTAAGTAGTATTTTACATTTAGTAATACATTATACTTAAAATATATAATAATGCCTACATTATTATTGGCATTATACGGTTGTCAGTTGTTTTCCTTTAAATTAATTTGTTAAGCTTTAACTACAGCTAAAGGTAGCACACCATTTGCTAAATTTTTCTTGCTAAACTATGTTTTATGTAGCATACAACTTGCTAAACGTCACTAGCTTGGCGTGAAATTTTTCCTACCTAGAATGAAAGTTTAGGACGCCTTTATTGCTACTAAGCATGATCTAAGAGCCAAGGCAGGAAAAAAAAAAAAAGGGGGCTTTGTCTAGGATAAAATATTGTAGAGATCTTATATTTGAAGTGCTTATGTGCCTTGATGCTATAGAGCAGACTCAGAATTTATAATGAAAAAAATAATTTGGAGGGGGTGTCTGATCTTCTGACTACACTTAGCATCATTTATAAGCCTTTGAATAAATGAATATTCTACATTGCTGACTTAGTACATGTCCCCACCATCCTTGCCACTACTGCAATGAAGTCTATCCCAGCTGTGGGTTGCAGGGCCCCAAAAAAGTCCTCTGTTTGCCACTGTGGACTGAGAGTGAGGCTACAGAGACCATCCCCTGTGCTCCAAAAAAGCTGCTGTTATGTCCTTCTCACAGGTGCTTGAGTGTGTCTGATAGAAATGGTGACACAGACCTGACTAAGGGGAGGGAAACAGTAAGCGTGGAGACAGGAAATGTTGAGACTAGGGGGTAGAAAAGCTTAACATGGGAGTAATAGGATACTGGGATTAGGTGAAGAAGGAAATTAAATTCTCAAGGAGAAATGAAGTAGAACAAGTTCAAGGCAAGGGAACAAGTACAAGTATAGATGAGGAGCTGGAGGAGGACTGTATGCCAGGAGCTTAGGACTCAGTGAGATAAGAGAGGATAGATGTGGAAGCCAGTGAGGAAACCAGAAGAATGAGAGCACAAGAGTAGAGCAGACAAAATCAAGCTGAATCAAGTTCTGACTTGAGCAAAGGGACCAGCTGTGATGGGAAGGGGAGCACTGACAGAAGAACTGCTGGGATTTGAACAGACACTTAGAGAAAGTGAAGTTAAAACTCAGAGAACACAGAGATATTAGCATTTCAATTTTTGTTTTTCCATTGCAGTAGCCATCTGCTAGGGTAAGTAAGACCAAGCAAATATTCTGCCATTCTAATTTAGTATAACTATGTTCTTGTATTTTCTGTGTGCTGTAAAGGAGGAAAGAGGTATAAATCTCTTTGCAGAAATCCATCTTGCAAGCCACTTTTAAAAAACTTTTAGGTCACAAGCCATAGGCTTTTGGCAGCGAGCTCTACCCTAGAGTTGGAAAAAGCAAGAAAACAGCCTTAAGAATCTTAATGCAAATATTGGCAGAAGTTAATTGTAATTCAAGAGGATTCAGGAAAGCACTAAAAGGGCAAGAAGGTCTTATGTGAAAAAAAAAGTGGCTATGACATACCAAACTTTTATTTGTGTGTGCATATATATTTATACACACATATATGCATGTCTACATATACATTCATATGTAATACAATATAGGTATGTGTGAATACGTTTTTAAAATACTTGTATTACTGAGAGTATAAGCACCTATACATCTAGATACCTCTGCTTCTTCAGTTGAACTATTTGTGCTTTGGAGGAAAAGAAAAATTACAACTAATATTTTATTGGCTTGGGTTGTGGGTAAGTACATTACACAAATGAATGCTATTAAATCTTTATACCATGCTTTACCAGTATGAATTTTCTATGTGCTACATATTTTGCAGGCACAAATAACTATTTTAGAAATGACATAAGGAGCTTTCCTGAGACTCCAGGCAAAAATGTCACATCTATTTTGAATTATTGCTATTGAAAGTCACGGTTCAGTTTTTCATTATTGTTATACCAATATCCCTGACAACCTGCAATTTACCTGGTATGCACAGTACCTCCTGAAACCACAGAGCTGTTTTTTGTGCTGAGGTATTTTTGTATATCCACCCTGTGCATAGGCATGTTATTTCACATGAATTCCACTGGATGGCACTGAAGGAGACAAGATTGCTCAGAAATACCTTCAGAAGTTGAGTATTACACCAAAAAGTGAGAGTGGCTTACTTTTTCATTCCATTACTGAAATAGACAAATGTGGTCTCCTTTTCCATCCTGATGTAATAATTTATCATTAAAACCACCTCTTGAGTAGTCTTAGCTGTAGCTCTAGGTTTTGATGGTAGTAAAGTTACAGTGGAGACAGAGTCAAGGCTTCTGAACCTGAATATCTCTTCTCCCCTCAAAAAGGTAAAGGCTAAAAGATGCGATTTTGGCCCGTTCGGATTCCTATGTGGAGTTTTGCAAAACATCTGCAGAATTTTTGGTCCCTGTCCTCCATGGCAAGGCTGTTGATACTGGCCACTTAGACCGTTATGACCAAGTGGAAGTGTGTTAGCTTTTAAGCTCATTTGAAAAAAAAAAAAAAGCATAGGAATTAATTCAGAATGAAAAGGTTCCACCTGTTGAGGAAATGTTGTATAGTGTTTCAGAGAACCTCCTGACTTGAAACTCCATCTGCAGTCCCCATACAAGGACCCCTGTTTTTTCCTGGGTAGGGCCTGCGGGATCCTACCTGGAAAGCACACAATTACTCTGTCAATCAGACCTATAACCTATGAGTCATCTTTCACTCCACTCTCTTTTTTGACCTGTTTATCTTGATGTATGTGAATTTTGTTTCTTTTCTTCTCTAAAGTCTTCTTATCTCTGCTCACATCACAGATATGCTTTCTTAGGCTTCTGTTATCTCTCATCCTGCTTGTGACAGATTTTTTTGCTATGCCTGACCTGTCAGAAAAGGTCCCTTGGAACACTATTCTTGCACTTATCTCCCTGGCCTATTTCTGTGACTTGTTTCTGTACTTACCTCTTTAGTATATCTCCATAGATATTGTGTCTCTGCAAGCCCTCTAGCCTTCTGAGAGTGCAGTTTTACAATTTTTTTGGCAGCTGTGCTGGCCTCATACAGTCTCTGCCCTCAGCCATTCCCTCCTATCTCTTTAATATGTCCACTAGTTTGTTGGCACAGTTGTTTTGTTCAGTTATGTGGTAAACCAGATTAGGAACCTGATTTGTCTGAAAAGGAGCATGGGGAAGGGAGGAGAAACACCTTTTTCAACCAGGTTATTTCTCCAATCTAGTCTATTGGGCAGCCCTCCTGCTGGTTAAACAGGGGGGAGGATTGCGTCTGGAGCAGAGCCAAGTGCAAGATGTGGGGTTGGAGAGCAGCAGTGACTTATGCTGGTTTATGCAGTGCTGTTGCTAGCTGTTGAGCCGTGATCTGATCTTGACAATAGAGCTAAACCAAGCTAATAGCTATCTGCTGCAAAAGGGTAGTACTGTACCTCCTCCCTCACTCCTCCTGATAGGTTGTTTCCTGGCACTGCCGTTGTGCCAATGCTGGTGCTTGTCTGTGAGCCAGCTGTGGGAGCTAATCTGGCACAGAAATACTCACGTCTTCTTGTAAGGGTTTGCCTGGCTGTTCTGCCAAGTGTCCATGGAGCCCACCCACTCAGCTACATGCTCTGTCAGCTCAACTGCAATCTCAAATGTGCCACAACACTTAACAACTTTGCCTTTTCCTGTCATCTGCTGTCCTCTTCTCTCTCAGTCTCCATATCTACTCCATCTGCTCTTCTCGTAGCTGTGTTAATAATGTCCTTTTGGTCACCCTCAACATATGGAATACCTTCCCTGAAGCAACTGCTGCATCCTCCAAATCTCTCAAGATTTCTTCTACCATGACACTTACGGTAATTTGTCAGCTGATAACATCCAGTTTATAGGAATTTTGGGTTTCATTACTACACTTAATGTAATGAAGTGGGCATACTCTTACTGGTTTATTTGAGAAGCTAAAAGGGATTAACTGTCACAGAACTTTTTTTTTTTTTAAAACAAAAATTCCCAAATATGCCCTGAAGGAGATGTACTTCCCTAAGGTCATATAAAGTGCCAGAGGCTGATTTTCTGTTGCTTCATACCTTGGATCATCATTCACGCTTGTGCAAATGGACATAGCATTGCTACTAAGCAGTTTACAGTAGCATCTTACAGAATTGTAAATTAGTGCCCCAGAGACAAGATAGCAGAGAGTCAGCACTTACTTGAGCTGCTGAGCATAGAGACCTAGGGATTTCTTTTCACCTAGTTGTTTTCAGCATTCGTGTTCTTTTTAGACACATGTAGAAGTATATGTTAAACAAAATTTCTCCTAGTATTTTGGTATGCTAAGCATTTTTTTCCTATTCAGTTAAACAGAAAATGCATGGAAAAACAGCAGTAAGTGAAGCTTCATACTACCTTGGAAGCAATAAAATAAAACAAGATACTAAAAATTTGGGGGGTTTATTAAATACATGACAGAGGACACTTTTACACCATGCAACAGAGCACAGGACTTAACAGTGCATACTCATTGAGTTACTTGCAGAATAGGAAACAGCAGCTGTGGACTTGACAATGAGTGCTGCTATACACAAAGTACTTAACCCTGTTGGTAGGTGGTGCTAATTAGGTTGGACATGGTGCTAATTAGGTTAGATACAACACTGTGGTCATGTAAATACACAGTGCCTGTGACTCAGACCTGGCTGGAGGATTCTGCACATACTGCTGCATCAAGACATATGTGCACATCCAAAGAAAGAAATCGTTTGCCCGTGGCCTCTTGTTCATTACCCTGTAGGGTTTTGCTGCAGTTACACATGCATTTGCCACATACAGGTGTCAGATGTGGCTTTGTGCCAGGGATTACCTCTTGGTAAAACCTGAAGATGCCCTTTGAAGTTGTATTTCAGGCTGTGAGTTGTTGCTGTGGAATAATGGACATCCAGTGTAGCTGCTTCTTAGAACTGCTCTGTTTTACTTCTTAATTAAGACTGTAAGTAGTGAAAGAAGCAGGAAGGAAGGGGATAGTAATTTTAGCCACCGTAGCTTTGTAAAAATGATGAAACTACTGCAAGGTCATGGAGGCAGACAGCAGTATGACAAAGGGCAAAGCACAGTCCCCTCCAGTGCATTTATCAGGAGACCTATCTTCCCCCTTCAGTGAGACAAAGCAGTGTTTCAGGTTAGAGATGTAATCCTGACTACAGCGTAAATTCTGTGTCTGTGTAACTGGGTGCAAGTGTATTCCCAAAGCACTGACTGCAGAATTGTTGTCTGCTCAAATAACTGATTAATATATCCAGAAATAACAGCATTCTTTCAAAATAATTTGAACATTCAAGTTGATTTTTGTATGAAGGCTCATGCTTATTACTAAAAAAGAGGTAAACTGAAGGAGCAAAACAAAAACATTGTTCAAGGGCAGTGTTCAGAATGACCTGTGGAACTGAGGGTAATAGAATATTTTTCTCCTCTTTTGTGTTTTTTAAAGTATCTCAGGTAGTCATTTGGGCAGCTTCTCTCTGTTATTTAATTTCCATTTGACAGATTAGGTAGAGTTTTTATTAGAATGTAGTGAACCATCAATAATTAGCCTATGGCAAGTCAGCGAGGAGCTATGCAGCACAATGTATTTGGGCATAATGGATTAAGATTTGCCGCCTGTGAAATTAGGAAAATGATGAAAATTAATAGCTTCTTGATATTGGAATGGTTGTTCCTGGTGTTTTGTAAATTGTTTAATGTCACAGGGAGGGATCCAGTTCCCTGAAGATTTGAGCAATCATTATGAACTTTATAATGTCATCAACCTTTATTTTTATCCTGGGTATGACAGTGATAGTGAACACACAATAGCAGGAATATAAATTTTAAAAATTAATATTGCTAAGCAAAAGGCACACACACAAAGTAATTAGTTAAGAAAATAAAGTTGGATTTTTTTATTTTCTTTGGTCCTTTTTAATACTATCTTGAATTATTTTTTTCCCCTGTGTCTGCCAGGAAAATTTATGCACGCACAGCTAGATATCTCTGACTTTTGAAGTCCTGCCACTTAGCAAAATGCTTTTAAAGAGAGACACACAAAAGCCAATATTATTCATGAAAATTTCGTAAATATTTATAGGCAGGATATGTTTGATTTCTGTGGGGGTTTTTTATTATTTTTTATTTTGTTTTTATTATTAAAAAAATCCATCTGTTGCTAGCAGATGATAAATATTTAGATCAAATTTGTGCCTGGGGTATGAGGACACTATTTCTTCTAAGAAGGGACATTTTAAACTTGATACTGTAGGCCCAGCTCCAGTTCCCCAACTCAAACATCATAGCATGCGCTCTGTTGGGGTGGATTCCTAGACTTTTATGAGAAGGCTTCATGGCTAGAAGGTGATAAGCTGCCTTAGTGATAATTTTGCCTAAGCTACTTCAGTTTTGCCAGAGTCTGGGCTGAAATACATCTACTGGGGAAATACCTCATTTTGCCTTATAGACTCGAAGCAACGGTTACTTTACTGTCAAGTTGTTCTAGTGTTTAGTTATCCGCACTGTTAAGAAATTGCATCTTATTTCAATCTTTTGAATTTGTCTAACTCTAGTTTCCAGTCATTAGATTTTGTTATGTTTCTTTCTGCAAGACTGAAAAACCCTCCCCTACTATCAAGTATCATTTCCACATATATATGTATCTATTCACAGTGATCCAGTTACCACTCTTCTCTGATAGATTTAAGAGATTTTTTAAACCTTATACCCTAGAGATTCTTTTTAAACCTCTGGATCATTTTTGCTGCCATCTGTCTGAACTTTTTCTAGGCTTTACATATCCTTCTTGAATAACAGGCACTGTTTTTTCTGATGATGTGTGTAGAGCAGGGTCACATCCTAACAATTATTTCCTTTTTTCATACAGCCCATGAACAGTTATTATGTCTTACAGTTGGAATTTTCTGGATACATTGCTTGTATCAATAGATTGGTAGATACACTCCCTAGAACTGAGGAGGTGTGACACTTGCACTCTTGAATGTGTGTTCATGTTACCCCAATGTATAATGTGAATTAAAGGAACAATTGTTGCCAGATCTTCTGTCATATTACGTCTCTCTTTGCTACCTAGATGATCCACAAATCCTACTAATATATATAAATTCTAATCACAAATTTTCTAAATAAAGAAGGGAAGGTTGCATTGTAAGGAGTGAACAGAAGAGCTGTTCTATTGCTGTGCTGAGAGTAGTAGAAATGAGGAACGAATAATGGCAAAGAAGCAGTGAGAGAGAGCAGTGGCCATAATCTGAGAAAGCCCTAGGTGACTGCTTTCATGGGCAGCAAGAGGGTTGAAATAGGAGTTTTCCCCAAGAGTTAGGAGTTTTCCTCAAGAAGAACTGAAATTTAATAGAGCTGGCTGGCTTAAGTCTGGAGACGTGAAAAACAGGTAAGAGAAACATTGTCTAATGCTTGTGCATGTTTAAAATACACTTATTAGTATAGTTCATTTAGCACATGTACAAAAACTTCTGTTAGTACTGGTATATGTTTTTTAATTCCTGTAGTAGGGAGTCATAGAAATGTTGTTTGGGAGAGACATCTGGAAGTCATCTGCCCCAGCGCTGTGCTTGAAGCAGGCTATCACCAACACTCACTCAGGATCATCTGAAAATTTTGTCCACAGCTCCCCCAGATCCTTATCTACTGCACCTGTCCACTTTTTCTTGTTCTGCCATCATGCAGGCAAATCTTGTTCAGCTCTAATATGAATCACAGAACACCACTGACTGAAAAAAGATGCTATTTTTTGTCCAGACTTTTTGAGTTTAATTAGGTCCTTGATCCTGTCCATCACAAGGCTGTATGACTATGAATGCTGGCACACATATGCTACCGGAGCAGATAGGAGCAAAGGGAATTGCTTATGCAGCACAGATTTGCAGTGTAACCACACAGGTTTAGCAGTTTGCCAGTGAAAAATGTGAGGTGTTTCTACTTTTCCTTGGTCATGCCTTTTACTTTTCTGGTGGCTATGGCAAGCTGAACTAGAGGAAAACAAACCTCACTATAAGAAGTGAATACTTATTGAATTGTTTATTGAGTAGAGTGTCAGTTGTAAGGAACTGCTCCTTTCAGTAGCAGCTAACCATTTGGTTGGCTTTGCTGCAATGAGAAATTTCATCTCGGAGTGCAGTTCCATAGCATAGTTTATGATAGCATAGTTTATCATTATCTAAGTCAGAGCTACCATGGTTCCTCCTCATATTTATGCAGCTGAGCAGTAGGTTGGTCCAGGGAGCTTTGCAGCTAGGAGCTTAGCTTGCCAAAAAAATGAGCTGGTCATTCTCAACAGGTTTCGTGGAGTTGATGTGGCTGAAAATGAATCACTATTTTATACCATGAGTTTTCAGCCAAACTTGCAACCTAATCTGATGCAGTGTGCTGGTACATGTGGTGAAAAGGGGAAGGGAGAAAGCTGAATCATGAATCTGTCCTCCAACACTGAAAATGTCTATGATTTAACTTGTTCTTTTCCTGAAGCACGTTATTGCTGTGCCTTTTTGTGTTTACAGTAGGTCTTAAGATTATTGTAAGATGTTGAAAGAGGCCTGTTGTGTATGGATGCATGCGGAGTCAATATTCTGTGGATCATTCTGGACTTGGTGATTATTGAATGACAGCTTGTGTTTACAGGGACTGACTCAGAT